CAGTGCTGCCCATTGAAACTGGACTGGATAAAAAAAATGTGGTACATATACATGATGGAATATTACTCTGCCATAAAGAAGAACAAAATTATGTGCTTTGCAGTAACTTGAATGGATTGAGAGTCTATAATATACAGTGATTTATCATGGAAACAAAGAACTGAGTACCACATATTCTCACTCATATGCGGACACTGAACATTTACCATAATACTATAAGAAAAGGGCTGGGCTCGGTGGCTTAGCCTGTAATCCCAGCACTTTGGGAGGCTGAGGTGGGTGGATTGCTTGAACCTGTGGGTTGGAGACTGGACAACTTGGCCAGACCTTGTCTCTATGATAAATCAAAAAATTAGCTGGGTGTGATAGTGCGTACCTATGGTTTCGGCTACTTGGAAGCCTGAAGCGGAAGGCTCACAGGAGCCCAGCAGATTAACACTGGGGTGGCCCTGAGTGTGCCACTGCACTCCAGCCTGGGTGATGGAGTGAGACTCCAACTCAAAAAAAAAAAAAAAGAAAAAAGAAAGGGGTTGGCAGTAGCCGGAAACTTCCAGGGGAGGTGGGGGTGTGTGTGTGGGGAGAGATGGGGGGTGGGGCAGGCATGGGATGGGGATGAGGGGACATGACTTTAATAAGGGTACCTGATCTCAAACCAGGCAACATGGGGACCAAAGGAAGGTGCAAACTTTACCTATATAATGACCGCTTGTATATCTAATCCTGAATTGTACCCCACACCTTTAAAATAAAATAAAAAATTACTATCCAATTTTATTTAAATATAAAGATTATTTAAAAAAAACCACAAATTCTTTAAATGGGAGAAGAATAAAGAAGCTATTTGGTTTACAGAACATTTGTTACCATGAAAAATATCTTTTTTTAAAAAAAATTTATTTATTATAGAGTTGTGGGTGTGAGGATTTACTACATAAGTAGGCTGCATTCAAGTGAAGTTTGGGCTTCTGGGTGGCCCTTATTCCCCCTGGTAGTGGGCCAGGTACCCTTGGTCCTGGGAAAATTTCAATATTATGAAATTAAACAAAAGAGCATGCCAAATACACACCAGTATCTCAAGAATAAAAATATAAATAGGGGATAAAAATGCTTGGAGGGTGATCAATGAAAATATTCCATGGATAATAAAATCAAAGTATTAGTTCTATAGACAAAATAATATAAAGGCATGTTAAATGTACAAGATTTCGTTCAACTTTTTTTAATGGGGCTGTCAATATAGTTAGGACTTAATCCATGTTGATCAAATGGGTGGAGAATAAATAAATGAATCCTTGAGAGAATCTATAGGATTCTAGCCCCTCAAGTGCTTCTGTGCCTTCTGGAAGTCAGGGTTGAAGAGGATCATATGGAGCAAGGTTTGGGGCTTTGCTGAATGTCCCTAACAGTATTCCCACCTTCTGCTCTGACCTCTCACTTCTGACACCACTTTCTCACCAGATCCTCTCTCCCAAGCTCATGGAGCCTCTCAAGCATGCCTTTTATGATAGGCTCCCAACATTTATGCAGTGAAAGAGTTAAGAGCTCTTTGGTTATGTCACTGGCAGTAGAGGAAATCCTAGGGGTGAAGAAAATCACGTGGGTAAGTCCATAGTCCCTAAAGATACTCAGAGAAAGAATAATTTGTCCTGCAGTTTCTCCTCGAGGAGGTCCATTGACCACTGCACACAGTCTGTGGTGTGGGGATACTTTGGGATCAAGGCAGGAACATGGCTCCAGTTGGCAGTTTCTAATGACTGTGATGGGTGTTTTGGGGTAAGGAAGTGTAGGTTGGCACTGACCAGCCTAGTCTCGTGCTTCTATGAGCCCCTCTGCCCATGGGCATAAACTGTGGGTCTGGGTAAGTGAAAGGATGAAGGAAGTGAGAGAAACACTGAGTTTATTGATGAGAAACAATGATGGATTGCCTTCATCATCTGGCCAGTCTTATACAGGTTATATTTGGAATTTTTTATGCCCTGAGAGCAGAGTCAAGAGAGGACAGACCAAAATATTTTTGCAGAAACTTTGTAACATCATGGACATACTAGTGAAATGAAAGGCAAGAAGGCTTGTTTCTAGACTTACTTCCTCTGACACCTTGGGAAAATCACCTTTCCTTCTGGGGCCTGTGTAAACAGTAAGTCATGTGACAAGATTATTCTAAAGCAGGAGTTGGAAAACTTTTTTGGTAAAGGCCAGAGTCAACATTTTAGGCTTCAGACATGGTCTACTAAATTTTGTTCCCTAAGGAAACTGGAGATGATATGCTAAATAATAAAAATTTCAATAAAACTTTATTTACAAAAGCAGGCAGTGGGCAGGATTTGGCCTACAGGCTGCAGTTTGATGACCCTTGGAATTAAGTCCCAACCAGTATTTACATTTTATGTTTCTCACTCAGGATTAGGTAGTTCAAGAGTGGAACTGGGGAATCAGGGGTATTGCCTGCCGAATTGAATTTCTGTACGAGTCCCCTCTTTCATAGGTAAGGGGACTGGAAGGCTGGAGGCAGGCATAAAAGGGAGCCATATAGTAATATGACTTAGGTAAGTCATAAATTATCTGTATGAGAATGAGTTTGGGTAATTCACGAGGGTTATCATTGGAGGGTTATCAGTGTAAATGTTCCATGGATAGTGGAATCAAAGCATTAGTTCTACAGACAAAATAATATAAATGCATTTTAAACAGATTTTGTTCATTTTATTATGGTGCTGTCAATAGAGTTAACACTTATTTAACTCATATGGGTAGAATGGGTCGCAAATGGATAAATGAGTGCTTGAAAGAATGTATAGGATTCTAGCTCCCCAAGTGCTTCTGCACCTTCTGGAAGTCAGGGATGAAGAGGGTAATTAATGACTATGTGTGAATTTGTGTGTGTGAAACCTTTAAAGTATGTGTGTGGAAAGTGTCAAAGTGAAAGGCTGTTTGTAAGAACTGTGAAAATGTCAGCGTGTGAATCTTCATCAAAATTTGTGTGAGTGAATATGTGTGATGGTGACTGAATGAGAATGTGAGAAAATATGAATTTGAATGTAAGTTTGTGTATGTGTGAATTTGTAGCTGGCAGTACTGCAGCTGAGCTCAAGTAGGTCTGACTCTAAAGCTTGTTTTCATTTTTCCTGTATTATACTGTTTTACATGTCTCAGAAGTTATGGTATAACCAGAACTAGGAAGTGGGGTGGAAGCCCAAGAAAAGTGGTTTAGGAAGTTTTTAAAGTTAATGGAAGCTTAGGTCCTAGATAGTCTTGAGTTAAAATATCGAGCTAGCTACTAACAAGTTGTTTGACTTTGGACAAATTATCTGTGTGTCAGTTTTTTCATGCATAAACTGGTGATAATGCCAACTTCATGGGCTTGGTGTGAGGACTAGAAATGATTATATCTAATAGTATTTAATAGCTGCTCTAATAAAACAAAAAAGTATTAATAACAGAAATTAGAGATTATGAATCATAAAAAATGAAAGTGACATGAGATTTGGCAATTGTGATGTGATGGACCATTTTAGAGAAGGAAGCGTTAGTGGCATGTTGGAGTTATAAGTAACATGGCAGCACAGGGAGATCATGGGGGAGGTGAGAGGGCTGATGCAGAGAAGGTGTATCCCTCCTTTTCTGAAAGGAGGTGAAGGGGTGACAAGGCATCTAAACATATTTACATAGCAAGGAGAAGGAGCCAACAGAGAGGGAGAGGTTGAAACTACTGAAGAGTGACAGATTAATGGGGAGAGGCACTTAGAAGAAAGTCTTGAGGTGCAGTGCACAGAGAGCTTCGCCTTGAGCAGGAGAAGAGGGAAGAGATGGAGGGAAAAGATAATTTGAATACAAATAAATCTGTAGGTGACAGAGTGAGGGTGGGGGGAATTGTTTTTCTCCTTGAACCAACAGTTAGGAAATCACAATCACCTTATGAATGGGACCAAGGTGGGGTAGGGAAGACATGAAATGATTAAAGATTTGTCAGGTAAACCAAATTCCAGTTCCACCATTTTCTAGCCAGGTGACCTTGGGTGGGAGTACGACTTAAATTCTCTAGGCTCTGTATGCTCCCCTATCATTAAAATGGAGGAAATGACCACAGTTATTGCCGGCTACAGTGATTGAGATAATGCATATAAAGCCCTCAGCACAGCGTGTCTCCAGATTTCTCATTCTTCAGCTTCCTCCCTTCCCCATCCATCTTGCGCAACACTGCAATACCTGCAATGCAAATTTTGCCACACCGTTCCCTCATTACAAATGCTTCAGTGGTTCTTACTGCTTTAACATAAATATAAAGCCCTTAGAGTCGTACTCAAATTCCTCAGTGATCTGGTTCCTCCCTCACTCCTGTGCTTTATTTTCTACCATTTCATTATTTCTCCTACTTCCTCTTTGCTGAATTATTATAATTTTCATCCAAACCCATGTCCTTTCAGATCTTTATGGCTCCATTCAAGTTCTTCTCTCATCACATTTCTTTTCTTGCCAAACACTTATTCAAGGTAGCACCTTTAGAAACAATTTTCGAAACTTCTAGGGAATTCTTCATGTTTCCACAGTTCTCTCTGCTTAGCTTTTCATCTACAGTGTCCATATTAAATAGATACTTTCCTTGTCTGTCTCCCCCCAGGTAGGTTCTCAAGAAGCTATGCATGGCACATGGTAGGTACTCAGTAAGGTTTGTTAAATTGATAGGCAACTCAGTTATCATTTTCCATGTGAGATGCATATTACATTCTGATGCTCAAAGTGAAAACTGTAATGTTTGTTATTCACAGCTCTTAACCATTTATTACAACCTGAGACTAAGATCTATGGCATTCTAGAGCTGAAAAGCCTCTCTTACAGATGATGTAATCCATTCTCTCCCAAAATTTAGTTTTAATGTGACAAAAGAGAGACCCAAAGCAGGAAAGTAATTTTATAGCTGGTGAACAGAATGGCAAATAATTTTGGCCCACATCTTCTCACTTACTGACCAGGACCCTTTTCATTGCTCCATTCAATGAAAAATGATCTGTTTCCTCCTCTCTGACTTCAACCCCATTCAGCTTTTTGGGAAGACAAGAGAGGTGACAGCCAAATCCCACACACCAACGCACAGAAGACTTTCCCTGGGCAGGGCAACTGCCAACGACACTGGTATCAGCCACTCACTCTTCATTCTGCTAGGTATCCCTGGCTTGGAAGACCAGCAAGTAGAACATGAAAATGACCCCAAGTGAGAGCCACATATGCCCAGTGGCCTCTCTCCTCTTCTTTATTTCCTACCTTGTTGCTCTCCTTGGGAATAGCCTCCTCATCTTTATCATCATCACTGAACGCAGCCTCCATGAACCCATGTACCTGTTCCTCTGCATGCTGGCTGTGACTGACCTCATCCTGTCTACTACCACTGTGCCCAAGGCCCTAGCTATATTCTGGTTCCATGCTGGGGCGATGTCCCTTGATGGCTGTGTCACCCAAATCTTCGTCATCCATGCTACCTTCATCACTGAATCAGGAATTGTGTTGGCGATGGCATTTGACTGGTATGTGGCCATCTGTGACCCACTGCACTATACTGCAGTGCTCAGTCATGCAGTAATCATAAAGATTGGCTTGGCTGTGGGCCTGAGAAGCTTCTGTGTGATACTTCCAGATGTGTTTCTGGTAAAGCGCCTGCCTTTCTGTTGTAGCAATCTGCTGCCACATACCTACTGTGAGCACATAGCTGTTGCCAAGTTTGCTTGTGCTGATATTCATGTCAGTGTTTGGTATGGCTTGTCTGTCCTTCTCTCTACTGTAGTGCTAAATGCCTTGCTCTTCTTAGTTTCCTACAGTGTCATCCTCTATTCAGTCTTCCACCTCCCCTCCCGAGGGACTCGGCAAAAGGCTCTGGGCATATGTGGCTCTCACTTGGGGTCATTTTCATGTTCTACTTGCCTGGTATTTTTACTATAATTACCCAATGGTTTGGGCACCATGTGCTTCTCCACACACACATTCTGTTGCCCAATGGCTGCATGTTGGCCCCTCCTGTGCTGAATCCCATCATTTATGGGATCAAGACCAGGCAGATTCAAGAGTGTGTGCTCAGTACTTTGTCTTCACAATGGAAATAGTGCAGAGTTTAACTGATCAACTGGAATGTTTACCAATATAAGGCTTCATATTTTTTATTTTTTTGTCAATTTTTAAAAATATTAATCAATATTTTTTATTATGGTTTTGTGGGGTACAGTTAAGGGTTAGGTGTACAATTGCATTTCATTCAGGCACCCTGTTGATAAGAGGTGCTTTCCCATCCCCAGACAGATGTTTGCTACTGTTAATCCCATCCCCCTGCCCCCCCATAGTTTCCCAGTATCGTCAGTCATTTTCTTATAGTATTACACTGGATGTTCAAGGTCCATTATATGAGTGAGACCATGTGATACTCGGATCTTTGTTTCTGTGAGAGGTCACTCAGTATTATAGATTCTAGTTCCATTCAGGTTGCTGA